CAACGAACATCAAAACGATCTCATGAGCCGTTTCTCGGGTCTTGACTTTGGGTGAAATGAGGCATTTGGTGATAATGCCTGACACCACTCCCTCCACATACTTCCCGGCCGTCGCGTAGTTCTCGACAAACGCCAAAACGGCGGCCAAACCTACCAATTGGTGATCACATTAACATCCATTAATCATTGTCCGCAAAAGTCGAAAACAAGGATCAAATGTCAAACCCTTTTCCTGTGCGGCGGCGTTGGAGTCGACCACCAATTTCTTGACAATTGGCGCATATTTGACAAACTCTGGACTCTTCTCGTCGTCCAACGTCTGGAACAAAGAGGTCAACGACTCGTAACCACTGAGTCTCGCCTTCCAGTTCTTCACGCATTGACAATAAAAAACACCATTAATTGGTTGACAGGAAACAAGGGATCCAATGGATGGTCACTTTCGATGACAATCATAACAAACCTTATGAGCGCAGCGGTCGTCGATCGACAGCTTCGAGAAGTCCTGTTCCTGTTCTTCAGCCATCTTCAGGCGACGATGTGTTGATCGCTGAGAGATTGTGTGACAGCAAACGTACGGATCAATTGAGTGATGGCTTCAATGGGTCACCAATTCGTGTGACATAAGAGCGGTGTTTGTAATCAATGGTCTGTTTGTGTGAATCGAGTGTCAAATGCAATGCAATTCAATTCAATCACACATTTGTGTCATTCATTCACTTATTTATCCGTTTTATTAGCCGTTCGTTCACTGCTTTCGCGTCAAACACCGCCCACTATTCAAACGCTGGCCTCTCATTGGCTCACAATCTCTGTCATCATTACGAGCGCTAAAAAGGTTTTTAACGTCAGTTTTGAGCGCTTTTTTTAAATGAAATATTTTTACCTAATTTTTGATTTTATAATTTTTTGTGTAAAAACTTTTACAATCAAATGGTGTTTGATATGTATTTGATGGCAATGGCATACAATATGAGAATTTGCTAATGAATATCATTCAAATTGATTGTATTATATAGTTTTTATAATGAATATTATTAATTATGGTTAGTATTCTCATCAATTTTATTGCTGTTATTTTTAAACATTTTATAATACAAAATGTATTAAGGTTGTTATTTTTTAATTTAAATATTTTATAAATTCTTCATATATAATAACAATTACTTTATGCATAGCTTATAATATAAATCAAATCCACATTTTACGGCTCAGTTTTAGTTTTGTCTCATTTGTATACATATTTTATATATTATATAAATTTACATTATGTTCAGCACATTGTGTGCCAAATATATGAGCAAATCTTTGTATGACATTTATTTATCACTCTTTTCAATCTTCTTTTAATCTTTGGCTTCAATTGTTTTGTTGAATAAGAAAACAAAAATTCAATTTAATTTGAAACTAAAGTAAATCCAAATGTTTTTGTGTGTGTTTTTGCGGTGACTTACTATCACTTCATTACTAGATTTAGGGCTCGTATTAAATGTAATTCAAGAGAGTTTTGTCAAAGCGACTCCTTTTATACCATCATGTAATCAATAAATCCTTATATAATATTCAGAACCATTTTTTCTGAAAACACATTATTTCGCCCACACTTTTCCAACAGTAGTATTAATGAATAAAATACATTAACAACAACCGCTTGTTCTAATACATTTTGAAAAAAGTTTTTAAAACACCTTTTAATTTAATCTCAAATATTTTTAAAATTCATGTAAAATAAGTAATTTTTAAAATTACTTTAAAAATTCTGAATGCATTTAAATGCAGTCAAAACACAGAGATGTGCGGAGAGAAGGGGTGAACTCCCAGTTTAAATCTCGATTACATTTTGTATGCATTGATGTTATATTTTGACAATAAATTTTGTTTTGTTTAAAAACATAAAACCTGTTTGTTTTGTGATTTCTAGTTTATGTCTAGTTTATTACAGAATAATATAATTAGTTTGAATTTTATTTACTCACAACTCTATAAATACAAATATAATCTTGCATTAGGGACTAAACTGTATACAGATTAGCCGATTATTCTAATTCTTATTGCTCTCTCTCTCTCTCTCTCTCTAAGTTAGTTAACTTATTATTAGTTAATTTACTTTAATATTTTGTTATTGATAGGTGAATAATTGTGGTAATAACGATACTATTTTAACATTATATGAATGGCGACTGACTTATGATTTTAAAATCTGGAGATTGCAATGATTTGGGGATACTATTGGGTATATTATATCCATTCTCGACTGTATTTTTAAAATGTTATCGTAAAATATTATAACCGCTGATAACATGCACTTTACAGTAATTTAAATGTTTGTAAAAGTCATGTAGTGATCGATTATAGTAGTGCTGGCAATCGTATTGTACTAATTTATATTGAAAGCATTGGATTCCATAAACATTAACAGAATCTATAATAAGACAATGTTTTATACAGACATGAATTGAACAAAACTTACAAAACATTTATTGTTATAAATGAAATAAGTTAATAACCGGAATATACATATAACCGGTATAACAGGCACTTCTTTTGCATCTCCACCTCTTTTCTAAACCATATTTCTTCACTATTAATAAAATTAACGTTAGAACTAGTTCTTGAGTTTACGTTTGAAAAATTATAAAAATCACATTAAAATAATATATAAATATATTATGAATAAAACTAAAGTTAGCACTAAATGCTTGAATTACCTGTTTCTCGGTTTACTCCGATGTCTGCCACTAACTTATATTATAAGTTTTTAAAGTTTTCTTTCAAAGTATCAATGATATCATTGATATGGCATTAAAATAAGCATTTCTGTCATTTTCACATCTAAAATATAAACACAATATATTACAGGATTATTAAACTACTTCTAATAGGATTCACATTTTTGGGACACAAAAATATAAAGAAGAAATGAAATAAACAAAATTAAAATATTTTAAGACTAAAACTTTTGCATTTATTAAATATAAATGACTTTAATAAATAACTTCATCAAATGCATAAAGAAATAAAATGTGTCACTTATTGTCTGTATTGAGCAAATATGACACAAAATATTAACTAATTATATTAGCTTTTAAAGGAATTAGTAATCATTTTGATTTATTTTAAGTAATTTACCATAAGATCTAAAATGATAAAGCTAAATAATTTAAATTGAGATTTCAATTACACATATTAATTTATTAATTCTACTAGATAACTTGTTAATTATTTAAAACGTTTGGTTAAACGTTAATTTTTTTTAAATAACACTTGTGATATTAAAAATAAACTGTGATTTAACCAATTTAATTTAATGTTTAGAAATAATCTTAAATTTCGTTTTTATAATGGGTTTGTATGAAAATTAGTTTGTTTTTTATACCAATAAAATGTTTGGTATAGATTCCAATAAAGTTTGACTTGTTTTTATTTTGAACAAAATGTTAATTAATTAATTATATATTTAATATTTGCCATTATTGCTGAATCTGTAATTAAGTACTAAAATAAAATTATAAAAAAATAAAAGGAAATTTATTCATATCTATTATTAAATATGGAAAAACTTTTATTGTATTGAGAATTGTATATAATTTCATATCAAAAGCATAAGAAATCAAACGAAACAATTCCCACAAACGCTTCCTTATTAACAAAGTTTGTGCACAATTTTAAACACAAATATATTACTAATTCATATGTAAAGCAATGGAAATATTTTTAC